AATGAAAAATTTAAATTTAAGATAATCTCACAGATAATGACTATAAAAAGAACTCTGAACGTACGCATTTTCAAGTTCAGATCAAAACCTGCTATTGCATACACATGCTATTGATGATTGTGTGTCGATATAGTTATGTAGTTATATAACTTTTGTAAGCAACATTCTACTTGTCAATAAAATACGATCCTTTTTTCAGTAAATTTGCTAAGTGAGACAGAGAAACGTCTGTGAAGAGACGCTGCCAGTATGCTAGCTAAAAGTTGAATTTTTTGAAAAGTTTAGATAACTATTTTATCTAAAATATTAAACTTAAAAGTATACTAATTTTTATACATGTAGACTTAACCTTTCTCTTTGAAACAAGACAAGGCAGAAATCGATAGAACTATTTGTCTTACAGTTACGATTTTTCTCATATATAGGAGACATATATATATATATATATATATATATATATCTCGATGGTATGAAAGGGCTAAATCGCGTAAACGCTACCCAGGAAGATTAGAAGGGACAAGAAATTTTCTTCTGTAAAAGCTGGAAAATACAGGGAATTTAACGAGATGAAAAAGAGTGAACTGATAGAAGAGAAGGGGAGAAGAAGAGGCCAGAAGCGAGACAAGGAATAGGACAACGTGATGGATGGTGTAGAGACAAGAAGGAGATCGTTGCGGCAACGTAGCGGATGCCGTCGATTCTTCTTTCTCCCCTCTTTTCTCGGTAAAGGGGCTTCATTAGCTTCGCGATAATTGGCGACGCTCGTGACTCGTGTTCGCGAAATGGCCGAGTCGTCTCTCGCCAACGTTATCCCCCGAAGATCTATCGCGATAAAACTTCTCCCTCGACCCGAGTCCCGACTAGGCCATCTGAAGAAAGAATAGCTGTTGACTACGAATTTCTTGAAAACCCCGATCGATACCCATCGAGGAGACTCAGGTATCGCGGAGGAAAAGCTCGCGGCTTTTCCCTCTCGTTCAAGCTAAAATAGATCTGCGATTAAGAGCGCGATTTAAATTTTCATTCCAGCGAGTCGGGAAGAATGAAACGCATTTTCGGGTTGCGTTCTTCCATTCTCGTTCTAAGAGCGAATCGTAATTTAATATTCCTAAGCCGTTCCACTTTGCGTTACGCGCTTCGATTGTACGAGTACATAGAGACTTATTACGGTACAGTTCAACGCTTCAGGATAAGTAAGGCAATGCATCAGGGCTACGCAATCGTCGCGAAGTGTTCAACGAGAAAGTAAATTCCAACCTAAAGCATAAGACAACTTTACTTCGTTCCTCTCAAATTCTACAGAACGCAGGTCCAATACTTCGCGAAAGCTTCTCTTGTACATTAGGCATTCACGAACGTGACTCTCGTAAGTCGTGGACAATGTCCACGTTCGTCTGCTATGCGCGTCGCAGGTAATTTTTCCTCGGAGCAACTTTCCCGCATTGATTTATAATTCTCTCGAACTCGTATGACGGTTCTCATGAGACCTGCTGGCCCCTAACTTTCGCTTACGTGCCGTGGCCTTTCAGTACTTAAAATGACCAACAAAGTTTGAGGGAAAAAAGTTATAGAAATACTATTCTGCGTTCTTTCCTCCAATCCTCTCCCTACCGCTTGAATTATTCGCAATAGCCGGATGTAGTCTGGATGAAAGCTCGACAACGAACGTCACGATATGCTCTCAGTAGATCGCGATAAATCTTAAAGTTAGCGTATAAAATTGAATGCGAATTTCCGTTTCACGAGAATCGAATGACTATGCGAGTCAAAATTTAGTTTCTCTATATTAACTCTGCAAATTCCATCGAACTCGAAGAACCAACAAAGAAACTCGTTATATAATACTAGGTTAGTCTAAAGGGTTTGCCAAATAAAATAGAAAATGGAATTATCTAATTTTACGAGATTAATCAATTTTAGAGTAAAATTAACAACATTGATTCGCCATTTTTTTAGTCATTTAACAAGCATTTCTTGAGTTTCTGTTGATATCCAAGCTTCCTAAGGAAGTTTAATAGAAACATAACAAATATTTTGCATCAATCTAATATTATACAGACTATATTGTCTTACCTTGATGCTATAAATGGTTGTTTACTCTCTATGTTGAAGTAACTCGAAGAAGCATTCATTCGATAATTATTTAATATTCAGTTATTTCAATATTTTACTTGCACTTAACTTTTATTTTTAATTTTAATCAGTAATGTATTAATTATATAACTAACTTGCTCAGATAAAAATAAGTATGATAGTATGTGATAGTAAAATAGTATGTGAGGAAAGCAAATATTCAATAAATAAAGATTAGGGAATGGGAATAGAATGAATAAGAAATATAACACATTTTACTCTCATCGCTTTTTTCATAATTTTTTTCTCTTTTTTGATTGTTAGAAGTTTCGATAAGATTTAAAAGGGTTTATATGAAGAGTTAGAAATGCAAAAATATCAGTTGTGTGTTCAATAATGTGTTGTTTATCAATGTTGTTTAAATTTAGGTTCAGTATAATAACGAAAGCTACACACATATGGAAGCAAAAAAAGAAGCATTGACTGATGTCAACAAAATTGTACTCTTGCAGCCAAAGAAGCATTATTAGATAAGAAAATTAGCAACTGCTAGATTTAAATTATATTCTAAAGCCAATATTCATAGATGCAAATTATTTTGCACCGTTGATTGAGAGCATAATTACAGATTTGTATGCTGTTATTATTTGACTAATTGGAACATGCTTCTTGAATAAAATATTGTAATAAGCATAAGTACCGGTTGGATCAAAATGTTTCTTGAATGAAATATTGTAACAAATATAGGTACAAATCGATGAGAATAATTAGAGATTCACAAAGTTATAATTACTCGTCAAATGCTGACAGACCATGAATGCTAACCCAAATTTTGACTCGGGTATTTCTATGTTCTCAGTGTTTTCAGTGAATTCGTCAAATGTCCGTTACAAACGAAAACCGTTTTAACAAATAATTTGGCGTACCTTGACAATACATGATATGTATCGCTGCTCGCTTTTCCCGATGTCCTGCATTCTGGTTTCTCGATTCAGCAACCCGATTGGCATCGGCACTGTCACTGACACTCGCGCAGATACGATTTGATCAAAGACACGTGTGTTAAATAACGCGATACCGACAACACAGCCTGAATAGTATTTCAACATCCGACGAAATATTTTAATCACTGGACGGGAATGATGAATTACGTACCGACACACCGGCAGTCCGTGGTGTGCGTCTCTCGTCGGCCCGAGACATACTAAACCAAACATAAACATACTAAACATACTAAACTAAAAGGTACACAACGCACAAACATGCTCGATCCTCTTGGAGCTCCCGAATATTTTGATTGCTGTGATCTCGGCATTCGGTAATAAAGCAGCGACTGGCGAGTGATAGGAGCGGCTAAATTTACATTTTTTGCCTAATGTTTTGGTATTGTCACACGACGTGTACTTTTCCGCTATTACACTATATTACGTTTTACGGAAAATGTGAATAATGTCAAAATCTTTTGAGATATTCATTCAGACTCTCAACTGCATGGTATTATTTAAAACGTATTTTTTCCCATCTCTTATATATAGATATTTCAGAAATTATCAGAGGAACTGATCAGAGGAATTTGATGAGAATATAAGAAGAATGTTTTATCTTATGCATTTGTGCGGAAAACAAAAATATTTGTGCATTAAATTATTAAAAGCAACGCATTTTATCAAAATTACCACCTTACTATAATTGTCACTTTGAATCTGACAGTAATTTTACATTTCTAGCCAGAACAAAGAATGCAGGAGGCCAGGACGCGAGCAACAAGCTTCACTATATATTTTTAAATATAGACACATCTATATAGATATATAGACATATCTATCATATATAATATGCATATGCATTTCCAACTCCAATAAAAAGATAAATAGATTTTGAAAAAACAAAATTTGTTTTAGTTATCCATTAATTGTATTTGCCCTCACATTAATTATTAATAAATTATTAATTATATTTACTTCCACATTAATTATTATTATATTATTTATTATTATATTATTATTATATTAATTATTATTATATTATTATATTATTATTAAATTTTGCTTCTCATACATTAAATATTTATCATATACTCTATTTGCAGTTAAATAAATTCCACAATTGATAGATTGTTCATTAATATTTAGAATGAAAATTAAGTACATATAAAAAATATATTGATATAATTGAATATTAGATAATTTCGAAATACGTTATCTTTTAAGAACAATTCGATATGAAAGAGACGACAGAGAGCGACCGTTTGTATTTTGCGCATTAAAATAGGACTGTAACTTGAATATTACATTTCAGGGTTTTGCAGTGGTCCTTCGAGTTTGCTGGAATTTATATAGTTAATGTAGAATCGAAACTTCGATTCGGATATTCGCGGTTCAATAAGCTCCTATCTGTCAATAATGTATACGCTCGGTCTTCGCTAAGTAATTCGATTTCTCCGACGCTCCTTTGCATTGATCTATGTAAAGAGACGCTTATAATCGTACTAGATCTTGCAGATTTCATTTTAAAGAACCAGATACTAGGAGACGACGACGGTGACAACGACGACCGGCACGTTATATCATTCGCGCGAATTATTCAAAGCAGATTAAATCAAATGTCCTCCGTTGTCGGAATATCTGAAGCAGGTTAACAATACCTCTCTTCTTTCTTTGTGACTCCCTTATTCCTCTCTTCTTTCGCGCGATTGTCCAATGGCACGATCAATATTTAGCCAATGTTCAGCGCGAGAAATATACGCTTTATTAACGCGGCTTCAGCGCGGCTTTGTGCCACAATGAAACGTTATTTCAGAGATATTCCAACAATAAGCGGGAAATCGTCGCGCGAATTGGCGCTTTCGTCATCTCTATTCACCAAATTATTCATTACCGCCGAGATTACTGTTTGAGCGTTTTCTATAAAAGAATTGTGTAACTCACCGAACACGGTAAGATGAATCCGATGACCGATCGGTGGAGTGGTGGATATTTGGCACTCGTAGATACCGGAATCTTTTTCCTGCGGATATCGTATTCGCAGAATCCATTCTTCCGTGTGAAGCGTGTGCAGCGCCTCGAAACGCTGATCGCTCGTGTAAGTGTAGTGACCGACTGTCAATAAGTGAATGTCACGATGCCTCACCCACGAAACCTGAGAACAAATGATAAAGTAACAATTTAACGAGATTTAAAGGACTTCTCATAGCTATCACAAAAAATGTTGGTCGTAGTCAAGAAAAGAAACATCATCTGTCTGTATAAATCGCAAAATATAGTAAATTGACACAATTGCCATTAGCCACCGGCGCATAAAGACTGTACTATTGACACTTTTTATTGACTCTTGCAACGTCAAACAAGTGTCGTAACTGTAACTATTGAAGTTGATCTAATTGTTGCGATGAAGCCGCATTCATTCTTTCTTTGTGACTCCCTTATTCCTCTCTTCTTTCGCGCAATTGTCCAATGGCACGATCAATATTTAGCCAATGTTCAGCGCGAGAAATATACGCTTTGTGACTGATTATGATCGACATTGTGACAGATATAGAAGAGTCTTAAAAAAAGTTACAAGATCTTGACAAAATAAAAATTGATAAAAATTTAATAAAATTTAGTGAATTATACAAAGTTTCAAATCAATAGAAATATGACTTTTTTGTTATACATATCTAGTAACAATATCTTAAATAATATAAAATTTAATTTTATATAAATAAATTTGATTTCATGATAAATATTAACATAGTATTTTATATAAACGAATTTGATTTTATGGTGAATATTAATATATTATTGTATCCATTTCAATTGTGCTATTAAAATATATATATATATATATATATATATATATATATGTATATACTTTGTTTTTGTTTATTAGAATTATGGTTATCTCTTTACAGAGACTTTTCGCAAATTTCAAAATGATTTTTTATTTATTTTCTTTAAAAGCTCAAATTTTTCAGAAAAAGATTAAATTTGATTTTTTTACAACTCCCATTTTGCGAAATATTATTTTTTTCCAAATCTATCTCGTAAATCGATAATTATAAATAAAAAATATAATAAAGATTTCAGATCACTCCTATGTTGAAACCAGGATGATTACTGTTAATGTGTATTTCTTTTGCGAAATTTAAATAAATATAGTGGTATTAATATATTTATCATAAAAAATGTAACATTTTTATACCAAAATATTATTGATATACACATAACAAAAAATTCATACTAATAATTTATAACCTTTCATAACTACCCAAATTTTTTACTTAATTTTTAGATTTGTCAGTATCTTATAACCTCTTAATATGTGAGAAAATTTGATATCTCACGACATTGTAATTTTTAAACGCTAATATACTTTTATATAATTTATCGCGTTATGTAGTGTAAAAAACAAAATACAGCTAATTTATGCGTAGCAGTTTACACGAATCGTTTAAATTTTATGGCAAATACGCGGGGTTAACAACGGAGTGGCGAAAGCATGCCGGTTTCTACAATCTGAATGCAGAAATCTTGAATTTCCGCGAGCTCTGCACGCATTACTAACTATCAACCGTTTGCGCCCTGTTGCTTGTAAGATTGAGCGATAAAACTTTATACTCTCCCTTTTCTTAGCCTGTGAAATTTACGAGTGCAGTAGATTCGCCGCGGCAGGAATACTTCATGTCTTTGTTTAATGCTATATAACCTCATGATGTATGACTACAATCTCGGCGTGACGGCGGCCACGGTGCTTTGTAATTATTTATAGCCGAATAGGCGCGGCGAATTTGCGCTCGCGCACGGCTTTAACTGAGAACTTGTGAAATGCGTTGCATAATTAAGGCGCTGGTCCGCCGACACACATACGTATACAAAGTAAGAGGACAGTTGCGAAAACCGTACCGGTCTCCTAAAGCGTTTCTCATCAATTTCTTTATTACTATTAAATATAAACAACAACTAACGGTAAAAATTGGACATATAAATAAAAATTTTCAAATTACACCTTATTCTGTTCGTGTGCTCAAAACATTTAAAGTCAGGTACGATTTAAGAGACCGGCATGACTTTGACAATCCTACATTGATAGAAAAAAATGGTTGATTCAGCTACAATTATAGTTATTTTTGCCCCAATCGTATTTTCTGGTTACTCTAACACGAAAATGATTTTGAAACTCTTGAAATTTTGTATTAATATTCTCCATTGTGACTGAATAAAAGGCGATGTGTTATTAGCTAGAATGAAATTTCTTACAAGTATATACTATTTCTAATAATAAATGTAACTTTATTCATAAAATGCAATTTTATTAATAAAATTATTGAAATAGAGCATATAGGTGTACGAGGTAAAGTTGGCCTATAATTAAAAATCGACAGGAGGGCTGTACAGATCTCTTGCAGAAACTCTGGAACTACTAATCAGGATACATAATTTATATGGCCTTTTTTACTCTGCGCTACGGAGCAACTCAGCTTGATATCAAGGCAAGAAAGCTATGTTGCGGTATTTTGATTATTACAAAATTTACGGTTAACAGGGTCATGGCCGGCATTAATGCACAAAAGAAGGCTGCCCCTATCATGTTTATACAGTCAGCCTCAACAATTAGTTGCCTGAGAAGTTGTAATTTCGAAATTCTAAAGAATAGAGTATCTAGCCCCGGTCTCCTCTAATTGTTTTCTATGTGATTACAATTACAAGTGCCAAACATTGTTTTCTCGGTGTATGGGAAACACGTTGCACACCTCAAATCGTTAATAACGTTGGTCACCGTGTCGGAATATGTGACAGGGTGTGTCGCGGACACCGTCGATCGCTGCGAGATTACATCGTCACGTCGGTTCGTGAGAGGCGTGACGGAGGGAAGGGGGAGAGCGGCGGGTGATATGGACAAACTTTGCATAGCAGGGGAAGGGTGTAAAGTGTGACATTCGCCAAGTTCGGATGATGCCGTAAAGTTGTCGGAGCCATCAATTAGCGCAGACTACCCGACGATCCGATGATTCGGACCCGTCGTAACATCCGTTAACCCGAGCAATTTACCCACATGTCGGGAATTACCGGGATAACGACGAGCCTGTCACTTTAATAACTTCAATCGGGCTTTTTACCGGTGCGCCCATTTAACAGATTACGCGAGTCTTCGGAGCGCGGCCTCGCTCGAGAGATCATTTCGTCGGACGCGCGTGACGCGGGGAGGGAATGGAGGGAGGCGGACGGGGGTGATTCGTACGCGATTTAGCGAAAACGGGAGTATCACGCTCGTATTCATTAAACCGAACCGGCTATAATACCTCCCAATGGGAGCCAAGCCGGAAACAATATCGCTCGCTAATCCACGCCACGTGAGATACTCAAACATTTATTTATGCAAAAATATTCACGGAAGCAGATAATTCCAGTTAATTAACCTTATGACTGCGAATCCATATCATTGCGCAATAACTTATGATTAATTTAATGCCCATTAATCCACACACCTTTGTCTTGATGTCCACATTCAACATTTCAGCTAGTGCTTTACGGGGCCATTCGCGTAAACATTAATTAACAGATTAACAGTACGGTGTAAGTGATTTTCCCCGTTTCACTCTCTCCGAGCGCAGAGCCAGAACAAGAGAGAGAAGAGAGAGACGGAGGGTCGACCCCGACTTTAGGTACTTTAACAAATATTTATGGAGAAATGGCGCGCGCAATGGCGTTTCCCGCGCGTCGTAACGCGTCCGGCGATAACTCATCGCGGCGTTGATCGAGTCTATGTTAAAACTCGCGCCTTGTGCGCACTCGCGCTCGCGTGCGCTTAAATATAATCAGAAATATAAACTGCAAGTGCCGGCGTTCGCGCGCGCCGCGGTCTAATGCGATTGTCGCTTGAATATGCCGCAGTTAATACACTTTTCGTAAAAAGAAGCCAGCGCGCGGCCTCCGCCACTCGGGGGAAACTTTTTCCGCATAATAAAATTCACGATACGCGAGCGAGCGAGAGAGAAAGAGAGAGAGAGAGAGGGAAAGAATAAGAGAAAGAAAAAACACTGAAGCCATTCACCGGCTCGGCGGAAATATGCGAGCGGATAAAATCCTCCGAGAACGCACCGTGACTGCTACAATGGCGATTGCCGCTCGGATTTTTTTACGTGCGCGACACCAACGTGCCGAGTTAATATCACCCTCCGCGGAGTATCGCTTATTCTTGCCACTTCGCCTTGCGCGCGCCACTTTTTCGTGGTAACTCGATCGTATTTCCGGCTTTTCCGTGAAGAAGGCTTCAGAGGGTCTTCCCCGCGGAATCGAGAATTCTGTGTGTAATTTCGGCCGACCGAGGAACGCAGTTTCATCGACATTCCCACGCGACACTAACCATGTCAACGTACACAGGCGTGCACATGCGTGTGCGTGTGTGCGGTGCGCAGCGGTGAGGTCATTGCCTCTATGGCTAAATCAACGCGACAACATTATCACGTCAATATTATCCCCCTTAATAGAATATTGATCACTCGTTGAAACTCGCGTTACTCTTTTACTGGCGCGCGCAAAATGCACACCTGCATGCGCGCATCTGCGCGCAAACGAAACGCGCGTCGTATCAACGAAACGTATTAGACGGTACACACGTAGTTGCGGCTGGCATAAACGCGAGATCAAGTTTTGCATAGAGATGAGCCGCGGGATTAAAACTGTGACCCTCCCGACGGTCGGGTCTGCATGAAGACGTGGCCCGACAAAGGACGTCCTTTTCTACTTAACCGCTCCATGTGATAATCCCCGAGTAGTGCCACGGACCGTTAATACCCGAGGTCGAGGACATTCGAGGATCCTAGAGCGAAAGATAAATTCCCCAAGGGCCGTGTCTGTCCCCGGGTTAATTTATCGACCCGCACGAAACACTGATTTAGCCGCAGGAGCGAAAAAATTTGTCCTAGGGGGAGCCCACGAGCTGATTTAACTTAATCAACCTCGCATGTCCGGCAGCAGCAGAAGAAGCCGAAATTTCCGACCGACAGGACGGCGGCAACGACGATAATTGCATAACTGGAATAGCGCGGGGTTTTCGTCGTCCTTTTCACGTCGGCAAATCACGACGTAAACATCGCGGCGAGCGCAATGTACTCTGTGCATCCGCGTTCTGCGTTACTCTAGGGCCAGTTAATACCACAGACGAGATGTAGTTCCCCGTTCGCTCGGCATCTCGAAAATGTTGCTGTCGATGCCGCCCGCCTCCGCGCGTCGCTCCCGAATCCCACGCATTACTCGGGCAAGCCTATCTCGCGGCGTGTCGGTGGTTGTGTTCTACCTGCCGATATCTCGTGTCGGAAACTGAGTTGCCGCTCGTAAGGCTTAAAATTCGCTCTTCGTGGAAAATGTGTAATGCTGCGGTGCCGCGCAAGCCGATAATTTTAACGCGCTGCGACATGCGCGCGCGATTTATCGCGTTAATTTCGCGGCGGTAATGAACGATGAAATATTTCGGCCCTTGTGTCTCATTCACGTAACCCGTTAAATCTGTAAACAGCGCTAACACGCAAGGAGAAGGATGTTTTCGGTGTACACTCACCGTTCTGTTGCCGAGATTCTTCACTTTGCACATCAGTTCAGCGGTTTTCCCGACTAAGCCAGTGACGTCGGGCGACACCGTGGTGTCGAAATATGGACCGTTTTCCAACGTTGCGTGCTCTTGGAAAACGTCCGCTTTGTAATGATGCGACGCGTGTGCGGTGTTTCCTGAAAAAAGAACAATATTTTGATTGTTTTAGTTAATAATTGTGTCAATAGTCGTTGGATACTTGAAACTTACCTTAAGCGAAATATTCACATTCGAATCTCGAGTTAGATGTGAATTTTTCGGCTGAATGACGATCATAAGTATAATTAGGCTATCAAACTTAATTTTTGTTTCAATTCTAAAACATCATTAATTTAGAAGCGCGCGAATGAGTCTCTCTGTCTCAGTCCATCTTGCTTTTATAAGGTTGCTTCAATATCGTCAACCCCGTCCCATTGGCCGAGTAGTTTTCTTAGTCTCTTCACTAAATGTTTACCTCGGTTTATGATTATCGTCCTACGATGTTTATGTCTTTTATTATCCATTACTTATTGTTCGTTCCCGAGTCGAAATTTTGGTCTTACTTTCGCCTTAAACTTTCAAATATCTTTATGGAAACTAAAGTTCTATTTAGCGTTTCTAAATGCCAGAAAACGCACAAAATGCCACTTGAGCTTTTGGTTTTAAGAAGAGGCCTTTTCGGCAAAGCTAATAGAACAAATAAGATAAATAGCATTGAAAGAAGTCGATATAAGCTTTCGAGTACCAAAGTAGAGGTTAAATAGAACATCGAGGTTGAAGGCACAGGATCAAAATTTCGGGTTCTTACTCATCGTTACGTGTTTCAGCCGCGAGATCGTGCTATTCCTACTTTTTTAAAGTGAATCAGTGAAAGCATCATTGAAAGCAGTGAATATACACTGATTTGCAATTATAAGTATAGCACTAAAACTGCTCAGTGCTATAATTATAACTGATATCAGTGACTATTCACTGATTCATTTTAAGAGAGTAAGTCCTAAATTCTAAAATCTGCCTTCACAGTTCCCCTCATCGACCTCATCGTTCCACGGGAGATATCACCTGCCAAGTGAGCAAAGCAAAAAACAATTACTCGAGACCGTGGCGCGAAGGGCCCGGAAGGGATGCGTGCGCCCAGCCATTTATCCCGCTAATTTTAAACGGAGAAACACGACGACGCGCGGCCGTCGCGTCCGGGACTGTGTGTGTATGTGTATGTGAACGGCCGTTCGTGCAGGCAACGGCTTCGAAAGTACACCGTCGAACAGCTCGTACATATCCTGCCCCGCACTGCGGCAAACGCAATCTCTCGTCCGGATAGATATATCGGGCCGGTGTGTGCCGCGGCGGATCGTGAGCGATCGAGCGGCCGCGCACACAGCCGCGGAAACGCGCACGTGCGTGGACGCGAGCGAAGTCATGTCTATTTGCATGGAAAGACGTTAGTGGCTTACGTACCGCGCGCGTTGAGAGATGATTGCCATTCAAATCACGATTCCGTCCTCCCCTGCGCGCCCCAAACGATGGAGATAGTTCGATAGCCCGTGCTGTGCCGCTGTCGCCGAATCGGGGGTTTTCGTTCGCTCTTAAGGTTCGCTTCATTCTACATTAGTTGCAAGCAGCCAATCGCGTGATCGCAAGCAGCACTATTTCCGATTGTAAGTCGCAAGCAGTAAGTCGCAAGGTTTGCAAAAGTCCAAAGTTTGCGCCTCTGCGATGTTGCGACAACCAATCAGTGTCGAGCTCCGCATATATAGGTTTATAGCGTCAACTTTATCTGTCTGTTCTTGTTTGTTCGCTTCCATATTTAAACGTAAGAACTGCTCTGCATGTTCATCTTGATGTCGGTTCCTTTTTCCTGTGACAGAGTCTTATGGATGTTAATGAAACATTCTCGTCACTGATTGACTGTGACATGTGACCAACGATTGAAATGTAGAAGCTCATATCGCAAGAGTTTTGCACCTTGCGACAATGCGATCTTGCGGTTGACTGCTTGCAACTAATAATAGAACGACCTTTAGAGACTTCGTCTGCAATATGCGGAGTAAGCTTGAAATAAGAAGTAAAAGTGGGAGTAAAGGCCACTCTACAATTGCGTAAACGTGGTCGTGAATGTAAGGCCAAATGATCAGAGTGTCTTATTCACTGATTTTTTTATTCTGACTGGTTGTCGCAAACACTTACGACTACGCTTACGCAATTGTAAAGTGACTTTAAGAAATAAAAATAATTTATTTTGCTTACGCCTACACACACACACACACACACACACACAAACATACACATACACTCCAGCTCTCTTACGCCGAAAGTCTTTTCGTCAAATAAATTCTTGCGGTGTAAGGGAGTTAGAGTTTAGATATATATATAAATGTGAAATAAATTAGTTTTATTTTGTACTCCTACTCTTATTTTTCATATGCTAAGCTCATTCCACGTATCGTAGACAAAGCTTTAAAACAGATCCCACCTGACTCCAATCGCTCGATAAGTACCTTACCCCCTCTCCTCCATACACACACCGAGCACTTTTTACGCAACCCGCTACTCTTGTTCTTAAAAATCACCAAGAATCCGCGCCGCACGGTAATCGCCCAAGGAAAACATAAATCAACGGAATCAACGCGACGAACGTGGCATTCGACGTGTTCCCATTCTTTCGCTTTGCGTGGACTCTTGCGATCCTCTCATTCTCCACCCTCACGATCGCTGTCGGAGCTGAGAAACAGCGTAGAGTCAATTCGAAATCTGTCACCACTGGGTTTATATTTAACTTGTGTTTGGCTTCCTCTCCCCTTGCTTTCCCCTTTCTATCCTTCCACCCTGCCCCCTTTCGCTATTATACTCGATCCGGCACCCGTGCAAACAGCCATTTCAGGTGAGATATCAAATTAGAGAATTAGACACCGTCCTACACGACGGCAATTCGCTCGGCGAATTTATCGTGAAGGCTCGCGGGGGTTAAGAGGGTCCATTTCGAAACCACTTTTCGTCGCCATCCTATTACCGCGGTGCGCTTTAAATATGTCGCGCGGAGGCGGTCGTTTCTCGTTCGCCTTGTTCACAGCGGAACGACCTTTTTTACGCAGCGCAGCAACAGTTTAATCGGCGGCGGTGTCTCGTACCTTAATGCAATGTACGTTGCGCGCGGCTGTTAAGCCGTTAATAAACGATACGACCGGTGGAGAAAGCACCGGGTCTCTCTTCTCCCCTGTCGACGCGAGCATCGCGCCCGACTTTGATAAAGTGATAACGATTCTACGTGCTGTATCCCCTCGTGCTGGCCGCGTAACCGGGGGGAGGGGCAGGGAGAAAGCGAGACGAGTTTTGCGAGATGAAAGGCCCAACTGAACAGGGGCAGCCGAACGGGCCACCCTCGTCTAAGCTATTTACTATAATAAGCTTGGTGAACCTTCATGAGAGAAGGAAAAAGAGAGAAAGAGGATCCTACCAAACTCGCAAATTAACCCCTTCCATTCCCTATGCTGCCTGGCAAAAGTAGGGGTTTAGCGAGCAGCTAAATTATTCGCATCCCTTTCGCCTCGCGTCTCGGGATGCTGTAAAAGTATTTCCACTTGTACACACCCCCTCTTGAAGTGAAGGAGCTCTCCCGCGCTGTTGTTGCTAGCGAGGATCGTTTCGTAGACAGCGAGTACTTCGTTCGGAGGAAGTTGAAGGTTTTTAGCATTGTATTGTTGTATTGGTAGTGGAAACTACTGTACACACACACACAATTCCACTTAACACGATAACGATTGTTTCGCTACCGGTGTTCCCGAAGATAAACGCAATGATAGATAATAAGAGCTTCAAGTGCGCGGAACTTGAGATTAATGCCCGAAAGAGACATACATCAAAAGACCATCAAGAACAAAACACTCTGACGATTATTTGGAGAAAGAGCTGCATTCTCGCAAATCGCTATTGACCCGCATTTTCTGCACTTCCGCGAAACGTGACGCTTTGCGTTGCCAAGTCCTTCGTCGTCTCCTCTCGACGCCACTGCGACATAAGAAAATTTTGATCGTGTGGTTCATCGGAGGAAAGAGCTGAAGAGCACCGCCGAGTGAAGCCCGTCGGTACCCAATAATATCTAACGCTGGAGAGTTTGGTAATGTCATTCGCCACGAACGGGATATATATATATATATATATATATATATATGCGTACGTGTGTGTGTATGTATATGCGCGCATATATGCATATATCCATATATTCGAAAGAAACATCGTCTCGCCGGCTGCGTGGCGAAAATCGCGGAGGGGATTTTCCAGCCGGAAAAGTCGCGCGTAATCGGCGGAATAATATTCGCGCCGTTGTTCAAACAACCGGAACTGCTGCCGGCTGGGGCGGAGGCGAATGAAGGAGAAAAATGGTCGAGTGGGAAAATAAAGTGGAACCGAGGAAAAAGCCGACGAAGCGCGCGCTCTCTCTCTCTCTTTCAGAGCCTCGTAAGAAAAGAGAGAGAGAAAGAAAGAGAGGGAGAGTCGTTGGGGAAGGAAATCGCAAGACATATGTCGCGAGGATTTCTGCGAGTCGGCATGCGGCTGAAAATTCCGCGGAAATAGATGTATCGATGGCGGGGTGCTGCCGGCTCGCGACATTGACGACCGGGGCTTCGACGGATGTGCGACGCTCGTTTCTCTCGGATTTTCAATGCATGCGGAATGCACCAGAGGCGAAACATTATTTACATCTTATGTGAGCGTTGGCAACCCCGCGAACTGGAACTCCTCTATGTGCTCTCTGGCTGCACCTAGTGAGAAACGCCTGTCGCCAAGAAGGGAGAGGTCCCGCTGCCAACTGCGGAGTGAATTTTCCAGGAGGTGACCTGTGCCGTGTGTCGCCGCGCGAAACGTATTGGCGCGGCTTCATTATTCGAGCGAGGAGTTGTCTCTATCCGGCCACAGGCCTGTGAGCCGTTAGAGAGACCGGCGAAACTTTTAATTCCGATCTTTTAACGCTAATTTATCATGTGCGTGACGTCGTTACGTATTCCGATCGCGGCGACCGAGTTTCCCGGCGTAAGGGTGGTGCTTAATGTCGCGAAATTCTCGTATCGCTGGGCGCAGTTAGTAAAATGTTGCTCGAGGAAGCTGTTTCCGCTTCCCGCGCATTATCTGAAATTTGAAGTAATATTTCGCGAAAAGGGGG